AATATTAATATGCCACATAACATACACAAGTATGAAGAGCATGAGAAAAAAAATTCAGAAACCTAGCGTGTGACAGTTTACCTTCAGATAAACATTTAATATTTTCAGTTTCAGAAAAACAGTTAGACAGGCTGTCCTCAAAACGCAAAAAAATATCATGCATAAATTTCATATGCACAAATACACAATGTACAGACATTGAAGTGTAGTGCTCAAATATATTTAAAAGGACAGTTCACCAACAAATAAAAATTCTGTCATCATTTACCCACCCTAATGTCATTATATACACATAATATTAAAAATATCTTCAAGTGAGTTCTGAAGATGAAAGAAAGACTTAAGGTCTTTCTTAAGGTTAACAATGACATAATGTATATTTGGTGAGAATGACAAGAGGTTGAGCAAAATGATAACAGAATTTTAATTTTTGGGTGAACTGTCCTTTTAAAAGCTTTATTGACATCTGCACTGCTGAACACAATTAATGTTCCTGCCACACAGTGAACAGCAATCAGATGCTGCATATTTCAGCTGGCCAGGCTTTGTAGTGTGGTTTTCTTGAAGACAGCCACTTCTCTGCGCATTTGCTTGGATCAAATCTCTCCAGAGAAGGTCCCTCAGTGCTGATTCTAATAAGATCCTCCGTGGTAGATACGTGCAGACTGCTTCTGGTGGAGTTTATGATGCGGTTCTGTGCTGAGTATCCTCTCTCACACTGTGCAGCTGATATAGGTAGAATCAGCATCATCTCGACAAGGTGCAGTATGTTCTGGAAATGAAACAACTGTACTGATTAAAAATAAATAATCTATTACATAAAGTACTGTAGAAATGGTAAAAAGTGTACATTATCTTGTAGTCAACATTGTATGGCTCTTTGGTGGACAAAGTTTGCCACAAGTTGCCTAGGTTTTGCCTTAAGTTGCCTTAACGTATGGTTGCCTAGGCCACCAGGCTGGATCATTCCTGACATGTCACCAACAAGTGATACACCCTGAAAGAAAAAAAAGAAATATTACATTTATATTATATTCTGTTGTTAGAACAATGCAGTGTATTTGTCTGAGAAAATAAACATCACACACACATACATTATGTAAACACAAACTTTTATTTTATATGCAATTTATCATGATTTAACCGTGCTAAAATTAACTTAAACTAAAAAATAAATATGAAAACTACTCCAAAATAATAATAAATATAAGTATTATAATAAATAAAGAATAGTCGTATCATATGTGAATAATGTTTACGTATGTGTTTGTGCTTGCCTGATTAATCCATCAAGAAGATTGTATGTCTTTATTACAAAAAAGAACAAGGTCACCACTGCCACATATGCTGCGGCAACCTTCATGGGAAATGGCCTTTACAGCCTCGTTCTTCTTCTGCGTAAACAGAAACTGATGAAGCAGCTTATACAAATGGGTGTACCATGTTCTGTGCTATTCAGCAAGAATTTATCTGGATCATGTAGAAGGAGAAATGGCAGAAAAGAAGGCTGCATTATTCATAGCGTGTGTGTTGAAGAGAAAAAGGAGCGCAAGGTTATGATAAATATTATATATTTTTAAATGTATTCTTTTATTTATTATTTATTTATATATGTTTTGTTTTTGTTTTGTTTTGTGGTTTTTTGTTTTGTTTTCTTGTTTTTGTTTGTTTTGTTTTTTGTTTTGTGTTTTGTTTTTTTTGAACCCCGGACTCTCCCTGAAGGTTCCCTTCATCCTCTGTCAGGCTTTATTCTGCCCACCCTTTAACAAACTCTCAGGCGCGGTGTAAACAGGTGAGGGGAGGCGGAAACCTGTCCTTCCCTCTCTCGCATTAGTTGACTAATGATGCCTTTAATTAGCCCTGACACACGCTGTTAATTGAATGCACCTTATTACAACTCAGCCTGTCAGAGACATTTCCGCAGTCACCGTCTGATGTTGCCACGGCGTGAAATCCTTGGATCTGTTCACTCAAGACTTGACGGGAAAGTCAACTGCTTAATATTCTGCTCATTTAGCCGGTTTATGACAGGCTTGTGCAGCGAAACTACACTTCCCATAATGCTGTGTGGCAGAAAACTCATTCTATAGTCAGTTCGGTCCAGATCAGATGTTTTTAAGTGGACTTTCAGCCCTGTTTTGCATCTCAAGAGTCTGTTCATGTACTCCATCATGTGACTGGAACACTGTCTGTATATGACTTGTTAATTCGATTTGCTGTTCGGCTTTGAAGAGCACGCTGTGCTGAGTAAGACACTTTCCTGCGCTTCTTAATCTGTCTCAGCTCTGTAAACACTTCACACAAGGTTATTCCTTAGCTCAAGGACCCTTCTTAGAGTCTTCTTGACAAAATACACATTGTACTCTCTCCTCCACTGTCCTCAGTCAAGCTCAACCTTCAAGTTTGTGCTGGAGCTGCAGCGAGCATTGATTGAGATCAAAGAGTGTAGAGAAAATGACCATCATATGATTAGTAATTGAGTTTTTCCAGTCCAGGCTACATGTATGACAGGACCTCATCTGTATCTCATCTGCCTGCACACTAATCTGTTCAAATCACAGATATGTTCACCATCTGTCGTGGTTGCTATGAAAAAAAGTGCCAAAAAGGCCCAAAAATTTCTAAAATCTGACTTGGGTCAAATTAAGTAGTATAAAACTGCATGTTATGGTGAGCTACACTGAAATATATTTGCTGTAGAAACAATGTTCAATGTAATTTTCAAGCAAGTAGCATTACATTTAACATAACATTTTAAAATAGAAAGACTGGATTAGTAATTACACGGAAAACACACTCCAATAACAACTTAAACAAAATTATTATTATTATTATTATTATTATTATAAAATATCAGTTTCTTTATGACTAATAATTATCTAATAATAAGAAATAATTATTTGTATAATACAGTAGTTTTTATTTACAAAAAAATAATGTAAACAATAAAGCAAAATAGTAATTAAAATAATAATAATAATAATTATTATTATTATTATTAAATATCAAATTCTTTGACTAATAATTGTCTAATTATAAGAAATAAAGATTTTTATAATACGGTAGTTTTTATTCATTAAAAAAATTAACAATGTAAATATAAAATTCATATTATTATTATTATTATTATAGAAAAAAATATTTATTTTGATTTATCTTAAATTTGATTTAAATTAGTCTAATTATAATTAATAATAAATACAATAATTAAATAAATTAATATGAATAAATATGTATTTATTGTATACAATATTGTATAAAATAATTATAAATAATAAATAAAATGGTAATAAAATATTTAAAAAATATCATACAAATATTTTATTGTTATTATTATAAATTATTTTAAGAAGTAATAGTAATAATAATAATAATAATAACACACTTGAAAGAAAGAAAGAAAGAAAGAAAG